CAGCTTTCTGAAAAACATGATTTTTGGGCAAGAATCAGTTTAATTTCTGAGATTTGGGGCTGGAGAGATGGCTCAGTGGAGTAGTTAAGAGCAGCTACTGTTCTTGCAGATTAGGGTTCCTTTGTCAACAGACAGACCTGTCAGCTCACAAGGACCTGTAATCCCACTTCCAGAAGATCTAACTCCCTCTCCTGCCATCGCTGTAGGCAGATGTTTGTTTGTTTTTGCCTACAATTGGACTCATGTGCATATGTGAAATACATACACACATACACATAAAACACAACGTAGTTTTGTAATGTCAAGCTTGGCTATCAGAAAAGGAATCGGTACTCAAGTATACCGTGTGAACACTCCAGTATATCAAGCATTTACCTGTTCATTGCTATATAAAAAGCTATTTCCAGTTATCAGTGCTCTGCACAGTCCAGGGAGATAGACTCCATATTAGTGCAGTTCTCAAGGCCTCCGATACCCACTACCCGGAACCTGAACCATGTCCCTAGGTAGATTTCAGGAAGCTTTGTCACTGCATCGCTCACGGGGAGGCACACCACCTAACTGCGTAAGTAGTTTCATGCCTTCTCTAAAAGACATACTGAACAAGCTTGGGATAAGGCAAATGGTGGCTTCTCTCTAAGGCTGATTCACAGACTGCATTCTGTCATGTAATACCATCCAAATATTTCCCCAGTTCTGCTTGAAAAAAACAAAGGTTTACTATCCACTTATGCACATGCAGAAGGCCTCAGGAACATGTGCCTTCTTGGCTGTCCACCTTCTGGCCTATTTCTGTGGTTATGCTTTTCTTGGTTCCAGACCATCTGCCTATGCTTCCCAGGCTGACAATGCTGGGCCTCTGTCTCAGACTGGATTACCTGGGTTTTGTATTAGCATAGGCAGCGTGTGAGCATTCTAATTCAAAGAAGGCTTCATAATCAGAAGAGCCATTTCCCTCTGCTGTTCTGCAGAGGACCTTAAGTGGTAATTAGCCAATATATGTAGTCACTCACCATTTGTTGTTATCTTTTTATCCTGGAAATTATCAGAGCGTGAATATACTGGCTCAGATACATCCATGCAAAGGAAGGCACGTTCCTTCCTGTTCATTTCCTTAGCCTCTGGATTTGTTTCCCTCTCTACTGCTATGGTAAGAAAACACCCTGGCAAAAAGTACCTTGGAGGTAGAAAACAATTATTTTGACTTAGAGGTTATGGACCACATCCAGCTTGGGTTTTGTAGTTGATGCATGTAATTATTTGGAAAGAGGTAACTTAAATGAGAAACTGACTCCATCTGGATCTCCTGTAGGGCATTCCCTTTATTAATGATCATTGTGGGCGGACCCCTCCCTTGGTGTATTTAAGGGGCGTGGAACTTCACTCCTGTGCTGGTGGACCTGAGCAACTTAAGAGCGCAGGCTGGATAAGCCGGAGAGCAGCACTCCCCCCATGACTTCTGCCTCCCGTTTCCTGCGCTGACATTCCTGAGTGACAGGCTGCCCTCTGGAAGTGTAAGCTTAAGTAAACCTTTTCCTCCCCAACGCAAGGCTTTTGTTATCAGGTTTTATAACAGCAATACAAGCCCAATAAATACTCACCATCACTGATGAAAGTCAGGGCAGGAGGTCATGGGAGGAGCCTGGAATCAAGGACAGAAAGCGAAACCGTGGAAATACACTGTTTACAGGCTTGCCCCATTAACTTGCCCAGTATGCTTTTACTATACAACCCAGGACCAGCTGCCTAGGGGTGGCACCACCCACAGTGGTCTGAGTCTGCACACATCAAATATCCATCAAGAAATTATTCCACAAACTATAAGTCAGTCTGACAAAATCTACCCATCAGACTACTTGGAAATTCGTGTTACTAATTTTAAATAGCTCTTAGGAGTTTTTAGATGCTGGAGAAGGGAGGATATACCTGTACAGGGGAAGAACCTTTGCCAAGTATGCATGGACAAAGTTACAAATCAGTTACACATGCTAGCGGTGAAGCTCTATTACTTTACCCCCCAAGCAACCATGCAACCATGACACGAAAGATTTATTACCACTTTACTTTGGCAAGTTGCAAAATGCCATATAGTGTTCGATACAGCAATAAAAATATGTGCCTGTTAATTTTATAACTGTTAATCCAGTACAGGGAATGAGATGACACAAGATGCTTCTAGACTCTTGCGGTTGGAAGGGCCACCTCTATGTTGGTGTAACTATTCAATGAGATAGGTTGATGGACTAATACAAAGAAGGGGTGTGTGGTTGAATGAGAATGTCTCCCATTTGAATTCTTGGTCCTCAGTTGACAGAAGGATCAGGAGATAAAGCCTTGTTAAAGTCATTAAGGGTCTGAAACTGATCTCTCCTAATTTGTGCCTTTTGGGTTCTAAGATTTTGTAGACCTATTTTATATCCTAAATAATTAATAGATTTTTTTCAGGTGCAATTTGTAATCCCCAACAAGGCAAATTTTCTTTACTTCTTCAAACATTCTAAAGTATATACAATTGAATCGGCTAGGAAAATGTCATCCATGTAATGGTAAACTATAGATTTAGGAAATTGCTTATGTTTCATTTCCAATGGCTGACTTACAACATTACCTGTGGTAGAAGCTTCAATTGGTATCTCTTAACAGGCTGAGAATTAGTATAAGTAGGCTTGTGAAGGCAAGTTTTTCTGTCTTTTTCTTGTGAAGGTACAGTAGAGAAACAATCTTTTAAATTAATAACTATAAGAGACAATCCTTTATGCAATAGAGAAGGCAAAGGAATTCCAAACTGTAGAGAGCCCATTGGTTGAATCACCTTATTAACAGCTCTTAGATCTGAAACCATTCCCCATTTTCCAGATTTCTTTTTAACAACAAATAAATGATAATTCCAAGAGCTGGTTGATTCTTCAATATGTTGAGCATTTAACTGCTCCTGTACCAGCTGTTCTATAGCCTGTAGTTTCTCTATTGTTAAAGACATTGCACAGCCCACATAGATTTGTCTGTAACCATTTATAGGTAGGGATGTTTGTACCTTTAAAAGATCAGCAGCTGTTGTGCCCTATTCTTGTACAACCTGAATGGTCAGTGACTGTTTTTTATAACACCTTCTAATATTTTACCCCAGAAACATAATTTATGATTTGTTTCTAAGATTGGGGAAATGTTACTCTGAGTATTCCATTGCTGTAATAAATCACATCCCCACAAATTCGTTACTATTTTTTATCACATATGGCTTTAGTTTTATTCTCTGTCCCTCTGTCCCTATACATTTGACCCATTTCATGCTGTTTTACCTGAGATAACGTTCCAGTCTTTAAAAGGTGAACACTTACCTCTTGAAGAGGCCAATTTTGATGCTAAGGTTCTGGTGCAATTATTGTTACATCCACACCTGTGTCTACCAGATCCTCAATGACATTGTCATTTATTTGTATTTTTAATTTTGGTCTTTGTTCATTTACAGAAGTTTGCCATAATATATTCTTCACAGTTTCTCCTGAATTTTTTGTTCTCTCTTCTATAGGTGTTCTACTATGCAGAGCAGTTTTTTTTTTTTTTTTTTTTTAACAAAAGGCATTAGGTTCTTTAATTGCTCTGGAAAAAAGTTTCCTCCAGGATGACAGGAAATGACTGAACCAAATTTGGCATGGTGACTTGCAGAATCCCCTTAAGGCGTTTCCTGATGGCAAAGGGTTACCATGACTTTCCCTTGTTGATCTACATACATTAGTCCAATGCCTGCCCTTGGCATGTCTTCTGCGTAATCCAGAAGGAAGGGACACTCTGTTTGTATTATGCTTAGAAAAAAACATTGTTTCTAAGAATGCACTGTTTACAATCCCTTTTTAGGTGACCATGTTTACCCAACTGAAACACTTGACATTTTGATTTTTCTTCAAACCTCTGAAAATCACCCTTTTTATCTAAGCATCATCATGGTCATGAGATTCAATATTGATTGTATCTCTGATCCATTCCTCCAAGAATGCTGATCTTGCCTTTAATGGCCTAACTACCCTTTTGCATTGTGCATTAGCATTTTCAAAAGCCAGAGATGCAATTATTATTTCTCTAGCTTCTGAATAGTACTATTCTATTTTCTGTTGAAGTCAGTCTTTTTAAGAAATACATGAAGGTTTCCTTTGGGCCCTCTATAACTTTAGTAAACAGTTCAATTTTCTTTTCTACTTCTCCAATTATTTCCCAAGCATGCACAGCATAAACCCAGGGCATAAATCAGTACATCAGCATAATCTCCCTCTCCAATAAGTTGACATTGGGAGGTTTCCAAACCTTTAGCCCTACTTCATTGTTCAATGGTCTTAGCCTCAGTTTTCCACCATACCCTCTACTGTAATTGAGGCGCAGTCTCTAAAACTGCTGTAACCAATTCTCTCCATTCTTGGGGGATAATTCTATTGCAAATTGACCATGAGTCTGATATTTGTTTCACAGAAGGTGAATACATGCCATATGAGACTATAGCTTCCTTGAATCTCCTTAAAGCTAACATTTCCAAAGGATCCCATTTAAGTCTTGCACACCCTTGGAGATATCTATCACTTTCCGGTTGTTCTCTAAGGTGACTGGATAAATTAAAATTGGTTATTTGAAAATCCTAGGCTGTTCCTCTCTAAACTTATAATGCAATGCTGAAATTGGTTCTCCATTAAATTCCTCTTTATGGATCTTAATATCTCTATAATCTGTTTTAGTAAGTTTTTCTAAGGACTCTAACTTGGCACTTATATGAACAAACATTTTTAGAGAGGAAGCAAGAATTATCAAACCAACAATAAACATTAACAAAATAATTAATAATATGTCAATCACAGTGAAATTGATTATTCCTTCATTTAATTATCCCAATTTTAAAGCATCCATAATAATACAGAGACCTAATGCCCTTTAAGGCAATAGTGTTTCCCATTTTCTAACGTGGGAAAAAACTCTATTAACTAATTCTTCCCTTTAAAAATTCCCAATTGTCTCACCAAATCTGTCAACAATGACAGTGAACTGTGAGCTGTAACACACCTGAGTGTAGAACAGGGGTACTGAACAGTCTGGCTGAGGACAGCTGCAGCTGACAGTGGGTAGCCATGTGCTGAGAGTGGCAGCCCAAGGAGAGGATTCCGGGGAAACCCACGACTCATGGGGAAGAGGGAGCTGGCTGTCTGAAGTAAGAACACAGACTTGTGCAGAAGATGCACGTATGGTGTGAGCTCCCTGAATGCATAGCCAGCCAGTCTAGGGTGGGTAAGTCCTATGGCATTTGGAGCCCAGGTGCTTCTGGAGTTGGGGTGGCAGCTGGAGAATGTTGTAAAGGGGCAACAGGAAAATTCCAAACTCGCTCAGAGGCTTGGAAATAAAAGAAAACCTAGCTGGCAAGGCAGTGGCTCAGGCAGGAGCCCCTGAGTATACTAGCGGCTGCAAAGCCACATGCAAATGCCTTTCTCGTGAATTCATGTCATAAAGTTGGACGCCAATTGTTGCATGACTTCTAATTGGTCTTAACAATAAAATTCCAGAGCCCGATGTGGGGCAAATGCTGAAAGATCAGAGAAAGAAAGGAGAAGCCACAGTCAACTCTTACCTTGCTAACTCTTCAGCTGAAAAAGGGCTTAACTACTGTCTCCTTTTTTGCATGCCTCTTTCCACCCACCCATATCACTTGCTGTCTCTCTTACATACCTCTGTGGTTAGCTAGTGGCTGCCTCTGCCTGAATGACAGTATCCTGCAAGTCCACGATACTCTGCCTTGAGCCTCAGTTCCCACACCTCGGGACATAGAAGGTTGATCCCATGAAGAAGAAGAAATAAGAACTAAGTTCTTGGGATATAAAATGAGCTACTTGGAATAAGGAAACTCTCGTGGCTGTATGGGTTAATATGTCTCTCACCTTCTCTCAGATACTGCTACTCCTCTATTTGTCATCCTTTGGTGTAGGAGGTCCTTCTGTCCATGTGTTGCTTTCATTGGTTAATGGATAAAGAAACTGCCTTGGCCTAGTTGATAGGGCAGAACTTAGGTAGCTGGGGAAGACAGAAAGCTGGGAGGAAGGCGGAGTAGGGGAGAGACACCATGGAGCCACCAGAGACAGACATGCTGAATATTTCCCGGTAAGTACTGCCACGTGGCGATACACAGATTAATAGAAATGGGTTAAACTGAAATGTAAGAGTTAGCCAATAAGAAGTTAGAGCTAATGGGCCAAGCAGTGTTTTAATTAATACAGTTTCTGTGTGGTTATTTTGGGTGTAAGCTAGCCAGGCAGCCAGTACAAACAAGCAGGGCCCCCTCCTTGCAACAATCCTTGAGATCAATTGTACATAAACTATCAGAAATAAGTGTTTATGCACAGAAGAGAGATGCTGGTTTCGAAGCAGAGATAGGAAGATGGCACTCAGCTTTGTCGGCAGAAGCCACTCACATCCTCAGTCTTTTTAAAAACTTCAGTAACTGATCATTATACGAGTTAGTATTAGGTGACAAGAATGAAGTCGTTACATTGTAAGGGACATGGGGAAATGGATAATACATACTGTTGAAGTGGAAGCAGTAATAACAGGAGTGCAAGTTTGAATAATCCAAGTATAAGGCTTGTTAGCGTTTTACCAAGAACTTAGTGAAAATATAGACATAGGAAATGTCAGTCTAACTTCATAGTATTTTAATGGGTTCCATCTTTTCAAAAGGCAGATTAGCCTGTCTCCCTCTTCACCATCACAGGATACGCTTCCTACTACAATCAGCATCATTAGGACCGCACATTGGGAACTACACAATCTCTTACGTTAATGCTCAGGTTGTTGGCTTTTTAAAAATACTGTTCTTAGTCCTTAAGAATTTCATACAATCTACTTTCCCATTTTTTTATTTTTTTGCAGTTAAAAATTAAAAATGTCACTACATCATTTCCATCATTCTTCCAAGCTTTCAATATTCCTCCTCCCTCTCAAATTCATCGTCTCTTTATTATTGTCACACACACATATATATGTACACAAATATGTAAATACAACATGCTGAATTCATTGTTATTAGCATATTCATGATTTCATAATTGACCACTTGGTATTGGAGAACCAATTAGAAGGCAGCTCCCTGAGGAAGATTAATTCTTCCTCTCTTAGCAGTCATTAGTTGCTCCTAGTTCTTTGTCAGTGAGAGTTCCCCTTCCATTTTAGCATGTCTTTTGGTATTGTCTTATTTATGTTTTATTTAGCCAGCCATATTGTTACGGTACCATGGGTATTGCTTCCTGTCATTTCTAAGAGACACAAACTGTCAGCATACTTCCTGGTTTCCAATCCTTACAGTTCCCCACTCGCCCGTATTCACTCAGTCTCAGGCAAGAAGGTTGTGTTGTAGATGTGTGCTTCTGCGTTTGTGTATGTGTGTGTTTGTACATGTGTGCACCTGTTGCGTCTCTCCAGGAAATGTCTGTCACACACATAATCGGTGTCCAAAAAAGGACACAATAGAGACAATAATTTGGGGAGAAAACAGTGCACGGTGCTGGCTATCGGAGCAAGGCATGAAATTGAGGATGATCAGGTTGAGGGGGAGCATCCAAGAACAGAAATAAAATACAGCCACCCCATCTCATGTCGACAACAGCTGCACAGTTTTTCTACGGGTAGTGAGACCTGCAACTAGGGTTGAGCAATCAGGATTAGATGTGCCTATGGGAAGAATCCTGGAATGGCAATCTTTGCCTTTGTGATATGGGGTGGCATGCCTGCTTGATGAATGGGGTCCACCACTTGAATATGGAGTTGTGAAAACAGTTAAAAGGTTTAGAGGCAATGTTGCAGCTGCTGACTGTAAAACATAAGAGTTGAGATTGTTGGCAGCCAGCTGTAGAGGTTGCCTGGCCCACGTCGTGTGTAATAAGAAATATATCTAAGGCTGCAATGGGAGCCAAGCAAGAAGTTCTCTGCTTAAAGGAGGAATTACAAGAAAGGATTTGGAACAGCATCCTTTGCATTGGCCTCTGATCTGGCAAGTAAATTAGACAAAAGAAAGGATGAGAGAAGCATCTTGGCTTGCCCTTTCTTATAGCTTAGAGGCCAAAGGGAGAAGATGGTAAAAGTAACAGTCAACATCCCTCAGGTTCCACCTTTGTTTGTTTGTTTTAAAACAAAGGCGAGAGCTGTGATCCAATATGTACATGGAGGTGAAGTCATGGCCAATAATTAAAGCAGTATAATCAGGAAATACTCAGCACTTGAACTGGAATCAGGAAAGACTTTTAAGTGAGAAATGAAAGAACCTGTTAAGACCTGGCTAGTGAGGCTGTGGGGCGTCTGAGTAGACAGGATTAGCCTGGCTGCTGTGGAAACAGACAACCAGAGCAATACAACTACTCATCTTTCCTTAGGCAAAGGCTTCATAAGCTCATACAATAGAGGGAAATCATCCCTCATGGACTGGCTTAGTAGAGCCATTAGAATCACCTGGTCACTTTATCTGAGGCGCTCATAAATACCAGGGCTCGAGGACTGTAGAGACTGACAGGAACCCAGAAACAACAAGAGCTGTGTCTGAACCCTAACTTTTTGGAACATAAATAGAACTATGTTCACAGAGGACTTAACAGGTTGATTCTTCACGGGCCTGGAGACTCTATGCAGCTCTAGTGGTTTTGCTGAGTCCTTTGTTTGGGCAAGATCATTATAAGGTAGAAAGGCTTTGACAAAGTTAACTGACTTAGGCCGACATGTAAATAATGTTCATAAAGTGAGACAGCTGCCGAAGATTAAGTGTGTCTAGTTATTCAAACACAGATGTAACAAGCTTTGTTTTGAGTCAAATTTCTGGACCTTCGCATCCATGTTGTGTAAGAAACTACAAAGATAAATGCCCAAAATGTCAGCTAGTCTTAAAAAACGAAAAGGAATAATCCTTCATATCCTATCAGAAAACATTGTAAAAGAGAAAGAGTAGCCTCAGAAAGTGGACAATTGGTGACTAAATATATATTTTTCCATAAATAGTGATCAGTGAATAAATCCCAGAGGAAGGCAGTCCTGAGAAGAAAGGTTACACTAAGATTCTTAACTGAATATGAGAGAGGTCTCAAATCAATAACTTAATGATGCACCGCAAAGCTGCAGGAGAAAGCCAAACTAAAATACAGATGTTAACATCAAGTATAAACAATATATACTACAAATAGTATAAATGAAGCCTAAAATTCATGAACTGGAGATGTGAAGAACAGTATACTAAACAAATAGCAGAAAACATCTCATAAGATAGACAAGATTTTCCAGTTCCTAGTAAAGCAACCAGAAAAAGGCAGGGGATGATAGTGGAGGAGGGGGAAGAATGGAGGGAAAAAGAAAGGAAGGAAAGATAGAAGGAAGAAGGAAAACTGAGACCTAAATTAATGGAAGAAAAAAGGGGAGTTGTTACAACAGATTTCAATAGAATACAGAAAATCATCATAGAAGCCTTTGTAAACTTATTTTCCAAAAACTTTAGAAATGTTAGAAGAAATAAATACATTTCTAAATATATACAACTGAGTGAACATAAAGCCAGAAGATATAAACATCCCAACTAGTCCTATAACGGTAAGGATACTGAAGCAGAAACTAAAAGTCTGACCACAAAGTAAAATCCAGGGTTGGATAGATGTACTGCAAAATTCTACCAAGCTTTAAAAATCAAATGATACTATTTAAATTCTTTCATAAAATAGAAACAGAAAAAACTAACAAGAAGAACAGAAAGGAAATTACCAAGAAACAGAAGGAACTACCAAGCTAATTCTAAGGAACTGGTATAACCCATAATAACAAAATCAGAAACACACACACACACACACACACACACACACAATGTAGGCGGAGTTTTCCTGTCTGGACCTCCTGCTCCCAAATAACGGACACAGAGGCTTAATATTACTTCTCCCTTGACTCTGCCTTTAATCTCCCCATCGTTCTCAGTTTGGCTTTCCTATCTAACTTTATCCTGCTCGGCTATTGGTCAGTCAGCTTGTTTACTAAACCAAATACAGCAACATATATTCATACAGTATAAAAGAATATTCCACAGCGCGTGCACACTCACACTCCAATACCATAGCACACCACTATCCATAATGAATACTTGGAAACTCCTCCACAAAAAAAAAAAAAAAAAAAAACCAAACCCCTAAAAACGTCTCAAAGAAGTTCACACTTAGATTAGAAATTACAACTAATAGGATTTTATCTCCTAAGGTGGGTTTTGTCATATTTAAATCACCATACAATAGACATAAAGACAGAAATCACATGAGCATCTCAAAAGATGAACTGCAAAGCACACTGAGGAAGAAACAAGGAAAAGACGGGACATCTTTCAACAAAATAAAGGCAACGGATGATATTTGGATGGCCAACCTTTAGTAAGTAGAGGAAAAATGATGAAAACAGTCCCTGGAAAATGTGATACGAGACAAGGGTTACCTATCTGGATTCTTATTGAATGCTGTGCTCTAACTGTTAACTAGAGAATTAAGACAATATAGAGAGGACAAAAGGACAAAAATTAGGTCTGAAGTTAAACTATCCCTATATTTAGATGACATTAGTCTTTATTTTAAAAACCGCATATACACCACCAAAAACATATAAATCTGATACTTTCAGTAAAACAGGAGCTTACAGAGTCAACATATAAAAATCATTAGCCTTTATATACACCAATAGCAGAATTTCGGAGGAAGAAACCGGGGGAAAAATGCCCACTTATAATGGGAGAAGAGAGAAGGAAGAAGAGTAAGAGGAGGGAAGGAGGCCGAGGAAGTGAGGAGGAAGCAGGAAGTTCTTACAGGAGTAGCATCAACCAAGGTGGTGCAAGATTTCTCCCTGTTTTTGTTCTCGAGTCACGCTCTCACTACGTAGCCCTGGCAGGCCTGGAACTACTATTAGCAAAAGTTTAAAATACTGAAAACAGTTAGTAGAGGAAGACATCAGATGATAGAAAGATACCGCATGTTTATGGACTGGCAGAGCTCACACTCTAAGACTGGCAATACTGATAAAAGCTATCTACGTACTCGGTGAAATCCAGGTAAAATTCCGATGACATTCATCATAGAACTAGAGAAAAAAATAAACTGATTTGGAAACACAACAGACCACAGACAACACAATTTATACAGAAAGAATAGTCAGAGGTCATTATCTGATCTCAAAATATATAACAAAGACATAGTGAAAAAAGCTGCAAGATACTCACACAGAAAGAAAAAAAAACAAAACAAAAACAAAAACCCACCTATATAAACAAATGAATGTACGGTGAGATACAGACTTGAACCAGTATGGGAACGAGCTCTTAAAATTTTTTTACATAAATGTCAAAACCATATAGTGTAACAGATAGCCTTTTCAAAAATTAGAGGTGGCAAAACTAGATGTGCAGAGTTAAAAAGATGAAATTAGATCTGTGTATTTCATCCTATATAAATCAATTGGACGGTGGTGGCACATGCCTGTAATCCCAGAACTTGGGAATCAGAGGAAGGTGGATCTCAGTGAGTTCAAGGCCACCCTGGTCCACACAGAAATTTCTGGGACAGCCAAGACTGTTACACAGAGAAACCATGTCTCAAAACAATAACAACAACAACAACAACAACAAAAAAGTAATTTGAATCTGATGATAAAATAACTAAATATTAAGAATCCAAATAAGTGCTGGGCAGTGGTGGTGCACGTCTTTAATCCCAGTACTTGAGAGGCAGAGGCAGGCAGAAATCTGTGAGTTATAGGCCAGTCTGGTCTAGACAGTGAGTTCTAGGACAGCACTGGCTACACAGAGAGACCCTGCCTCAAAAAACAAAAATTAAAACAAAAAGTGCCGAAAAGTTTTATAAACATTAATACCACATTTGCACCAACATGAACACCACATGTGGGCACCAAAAGTCTGCAGACAAAAAAAAAAAAATCTTAGTAAGTACCTTTTTATTGTTACTACATTTGGGTTAGGGGGTGTAAGTAAAGAATTGGTTTTCGGAAAAGAATGAAGTCATCAGACAGGGACTAAAAGGATGACAGGGAAATGGGAGCAAAAGATTATGGTGATTAGCATTAAATAACGAACTGCAACTTCTCTTCAGCTTGCAGCCTTATTTCTTCTTTTGCTGTGGTAAAGCACCCTTACTTGAGTAATGTCAGGAGACACTGTTAACTACTGCTCATGGTACATGGGCAATGATTTTATTAGTGACTTTCTGTTTTGATTAAACATCATGACCAAGGCAACTCAGAGGAATGACTTTACTTTACGGTACAGAAGGGATCAAAGTTCACGATGGAGGGAGGGCATGAGAGCAAGCTGTGTGGTGGCTGATACGGGAAGCTGAACGCTCACATCCTCAATGGCACGCAGGATGCAGAGAGAGCAGAGTGGATGTAAAGGGAGCTTTTAATTTCAAAGTTCACCTCTAGTGATCTACTACTCCTAAGCCTCCCCAGGGCCACCAACTTGGGGAATAAATGTTCAAATGCCTAAGACTACAGGACACATTTCTCGTTCAAACCATGACAGTGTGAATCATGGTGAGACAGTTAGGGCAGCAGTCGCTGCAGCAGCAGCTGCTCAGGTCGCCGCAACAGTCAGGAAGCAGAGGAAGAGAGATGAACAGTTATTCTCAGTTCACTTTCTCTTTTTATACAATCCAGGAGCCTAGTCCAAAAAAGATGGTTCCTCCCACGATCAACAGGTCTGACCACAACCTAAAACACAAACACACAACCTGAACTTTGCCAAGACTGATCAGAATCAGGGATGGATGAGTTAAAAATGAACTTCCAAATCCTCCACATTCGTAAAGTTTCTCTGCAGAATAAATACTCTCTTAGACAATACCTTGTCACATTTTTCATTCACACTTGAAGGGAATCTCTTGAGCCCTTTGACGGTCCTTAAAGTCTGAAGTACAGTAAAACATCTTGCCACATTCTTCACATCTGTATGGTTTCTCTACAGTAGGAAGTGCTTTGTGTTTAATAAAGACTTAAAGGTTAATAAAGGTCAGATTTCTCCTCAGAATGATTTTTCTTTTTTTGTTTTTAAAGACTGAAGTACAGTAAAGTTTTGACACATTGTTTACATTTGTGGGGTTTCTCTCCAGTGTGAATTTACTGGTGTTTGCTAAGTCTTTAGCAAGTATAAAATACTTCTCCACATTCTTCCCATTTGTAAGGTTTCTCTTCAGTATGGAGTAATTTGTGCAGAGTAAGGTATGAATGAGTAGAGAAGCCTTTGCCACACTCTTCACACTTGTAGGGCTTCTCTCCGGTGTGAATTCTCTGGTGTTTAGAACGTCCTGAGCGAGTACAAAAGACCTTCCCACACACTTCACACTTGTAGGGATTCTGAGAATGAATTCTTTGATGTTCCTTCAGGAGCGAGGGGTAGCTATATGATTTCCCACACTCTTCACACTTGTAGGGTTTCTCTCCAGAGTGACCCAGTCTGTGCCGCATGAGGTACGAGTGAGTAGAAAAGGCCTTCCCACACTCCTCACAACTGTAGAGTTTCACCTCGGCATGGATTCTCTGGTGTTTAGAAAGTTCCGAGCGAGTTCTAAACATGCTGCCACATACTTCACAGCTGTAGGGCTTCACTCCAGAGTGAATTCTTTGGTGCTCCTTAAGGATCGAAGGATAACAAAATGTTTTGCCACATTCTTCACACTTGTATGGCTTCTCTCTCGAATGGCCTAATTTGTGCCGAATGAGATAGGAGTGAGTAGAAAAGGCTTTTCCGCATTCCTCACAACTGTAGAGCTTCACCTCTGCGTGGATCCTCTGGTGCTTAGAAAGGTCTGAGCTCGTTCTGAACATGCTGCCACAGGCTTCACACTTGAAGGGCTTCACTCCGGAATGAATAATCTGGTGTCCCTTCAGGTTTGAGCGGTAGTAAAACGTCTTCCCACACTCTTCACACTGGTAGGGTTTCTCTCCGGTGTGAATTCTTTGGTGTTGGTGAAAATATGTGGACCTACGAAAGGCTTTACCACATTCATTGCAACGGTATGGTTTCTCTCCAGAGTGAATCCTTTGATGCTGCTTTAGGGTTGAGGGGTAGGAAAAGGCTTTGCCGCATTCCTCACACCTGTAAGGATTTTCTGCAGAGTGAATTCTCTGATGTTGTTTAAGGAATGAAGGTAAATAAAAGGCTTTGCCGCATTCCTCGCACTTGCAGAGATTCTCTGCAGAGTGAGTTCTTTGATGCTGTTTGAGCAGTGAAGGGAAATAAAAGGCTTTTGCACACTCCTCACACTTGTAGGGCTTTTCTCCAGAGTGGATTTTCTTGTGGATATAAAGTGCTGAGCGGGTACTAAAGGCCTTGCCACACTCCTCACATTTATAGGGTCTCTCTCCTGTGTGAATCCTCTGGTGGATAGAAAGTGCTGAGTGAGCGCTGAACACCTTCCCACATTCCTCACACTTGTAGGGCTTCTCCACAGGATGAATTCTCTGGTGTTGAATGAGGACTGAGTTCCAATCAAAGGCCTTGTCAAATTCTTGGCATTTATAGGACGTTGCCCCTAGTGAGTAAAAGTTGAGAAATGAATAAAATCTGAGCAACATTCTTTATATTTATAGTGCTTATCTTTAATATGGAGACTTACTTAAATTTTATAGACAAATGAGAAGCTACATTTGAAAACCTATATTTGGTGTAATGAAATTCAGAAATCACTGTAGATGGAAATAATAAACTTCTACTGAAAGATGAAGACAAGAAAGAATATAAAAATATTGAACACATTATCCACAGTTAAATGGCGAAGGAAGTTGTACCATCAATAATAATAAAAACTGCCTAAGGACATATGCTAAGAGAAATAATTCCACCAGACAAACTGACCAGACATGAAAGTACAGTGTATCTATGTTGTGTAGTCTCTGTTGCTCTGATAAAGGATCATAACCAAGGCCACTTACTTGAAGACTTGACTTAGACTTACGGTTCCAGACAGTATGAATCCATCATAGAGGACCATCTGGAAGCCAAAGCTCCCGCTCATCCTGTGCCCAGACTATGAAGCAGAACAAACTAGCAGTAGAGGGGGGATTTTAACTCCGAAAGGACTTCAGCATAGCTCCTAGTTATGTACTGCATCCAGCAAGGCTGCACCATCAACTGGGGACCAAGTGTTCAAATGCAGGAATCCCATTCGACTACACTGGCCAAAACTGTCTATCTGGATGTTGATTTTGATGGTCTTAAATTAAATGGACGTAGAATCACACAGTGTTAATCTTAAGAACAGAGTTTTAGTTTTGAAAAGATTCATTTCCTAAGACGTTTACCATCTATAACACTGTGAAATAATGGATTTCAAGAGACAGAGACAGTATGTTATGTTACATTTTCATAACAAGGAAACAAATTCCTAATATAGACTTGTGATAAACTTTGAAATTTGTGTATAAATGACAGACTTTTGCTAAAGGCTATATTATTGTCAATGAGTATGTCATAAAGCTAGCCTATTTGGATTCATTCGTGAGATAAAACAATTGAATAACACAATATATAAGACATGAAAACGTGAGATTCATATTTGCCCATGAAGTGGACATATACAGTACTGATGTTCACAGAGCTAATGCTATATATAAATTTTATAGCTAATATATAAATTTTAATTTATATATATATGTATGCATTGTACTTAGCATTGGACATTCAGCTTACAGAAATATATAGGCTGCACATAAAGAAATAATTTAAGGGGGGCTGGAGAGATGGCTCAGAGGTTAAGAGCATTGCCTGCTCTTCCAAAGGTCCTGAGTTCAATTCCCAGCAACCACATGGTGGCTCACAACCATCTGTAATGGGGTCTGGTGCCTTCTTCTGGCCTGCAGATATACACACAGACATAATATTGTATACATAATAAATAAATAAATAAATATTTAAAAAAAAGAACTAATTTAAGGAAACAAGACAGTAACACAGAAAATAGAACTTTGTAATTAACAAGTATGGACAAGACGTGGAAGAAATTCATGTTCACAGTTGTCTTTCGAGGTGTGTGCGAATTTTCAGACGGGTGGAAAACAGTAAAACGTCAGTTATAATATAAACCCAGCAAAATCAAGAACTCTGACTACTATAAATATAAGCAGAGCCACTGGAGAGGAAGACCAAGGCTGAGAGATGTAAACCACCATAGACATCTGGCAGACGCCCTTCTGTGCCAGCAGAAGACACAGACGGAGAGTCTTAAAAGATGGTGGCACCAGAACACCTGTCTCAGAGCTCAAATGAAGCCTGGCTTTCTGCTGGATCTCTGGCCTCCCACTCTGTCCTCTGTCCCCTCATCTCTACACACCTGGGTGCAAGGTCGCAACTGCTTCTCTTTTCACATCTGAAGGCCCTGGTCTTTGCTCTAGAAACGTCACCAGGTATGGCTTACAGGAAGCAAGACCTATTTGGGGGGAAAAGGTAAACATCAATGTTAGTGTTTTCTAATCGAAATTAGCAACCTCTTCCATTTTAAGCTTATAAGAAAAGATGAAAGAATTGTAGAAAATTAGCTCATTGTTTTCTGAGAAAAACATATAGAATATGTAGGAGTAATTTATAATTCAAGGATCCTTAGTTTCATTTACAAAGTAAATATGAAAGCTGAGGGTGAAACATTTTCTTTAACATGTATGCTCCATACCGCACAATACTGAGTTCATAGGATTACAACAAGAATAAAGAAAGCATATTAAAAAACAAATAAACAAAACCATCATAAAGCCGCATCAAAAACACAAGAAGAAATACAATAAAATATTTCTTGAAATATCAGCAATCTCCCTCATTTTTTTTTTCATAAAAGCAGGTATATAAAAGTTACTGATGGAAAGAACAAATACCCATAGGATGTTCTACAAAGGGAGGAAATTACATGTTGGTTGTGCAATTAGACTTCACTTATAGATGTGATCCTCACCCAGGAACACGAGGTTGCTGTAATTCTCCAACATCACATCCCTGTACAGATTCCACTGAGCAAGGTCCAGGCATTCCCACTCCTCTGCAGAGAAATCAATGGCCACATCCCTGAATGAGAGCATTTCCTGAAATAAAAATAATTGATTACTATACATCTGAAAACCATAATAATGACATAAAACACCAGCATCATGTGGTTGTGTAAACAACTCTAAATCTTGCTGAGGATAAGGCAAAAGCTGGAAGTGCTTCAGTCATAGGTATGTAACTGATACGGAATAATCTTTCAGTACACTGTGAAGGTTTGTCACTTGGATTGGTTTAATAAAACAATGAAGGGAAGAAGGATGCTGGATGGGTGGAGTCTTGGGATTCTGGAGACTGACTCGGAAGAAAAACCATGGAAGTTCATAGATGAGGTAAACAAGCCCTGGGCAGCACATGGGTTAAAAGAAATGGGTGGATTAAGTTGTAGGAGCTGGCTGAAGTCAAGGCTAAGCTATTGGCTGAACATTTATAATTAATAATAAGTCTCAGTCTCGTTATTTGGGATTGGCTGCTGGGACACAGAGAAACTCTGCCTATAAGTAACATTCCTAAGATACTTCTGATATGATCATATGAACTCATCTTTGGTCTCACAAGGGTCACCCTTGACCCAACTTCAAGCAAAGAGAATGAAGAGATCCTATTATCTCATATGGATATTGGACTTTTAGGAAATGTAAAAAGGAAATGAATTCATGCACAGGGGCGTATTATACTTGTCTTATGCTTGTTCTATATACCACAGAGATACATTTCTCAGAGGATATTATATTTGTGTTATGTTTGTTTAATACACCAGACACAGATGCACAGGCGAAAGCCACAGTGGGGGAGAAGGTACTTATCAACTCTTAATATGCACAATCATGAATGTGAGATGCAGTGAAAATGAAGATTCCGACATAGCAGCTCTGGTACAGGTCTGGATGACTGCATTTGTACAGAGTTCAATAGTGATGCTATTGCCAGCACACCAAGAGACTTGGGATGGGGCAGTCTTGAGGTATAACAGTAATGGCGAACTCACAGCCAAAACGAAATCAAAAGTATTTCAACAGATTACAAATTAGTAAGTGTAGTAATAACATTTAAAGATTTAAAATACACTAGAGAGCACTCTAACTTGTCCCACTTCCTTTCTCCTGTCTTTTTTTATGTTTTTCTTTTACAGAGAGCTATTGGTCCATTTGCTAGAATCCTACAGTAGGCTTTGGGCTACGCCTATGACAGCTATGCCTTGGTAACTGGAGGTCAAGGATTAGAATTTGGGATAATTGCTATTAATTTCTCCTAAAAAATTTAGCACAAGCTCTTTGCCATGGCTCATTGTCTTCCCATAATTTTTTTAAATTTCATCAGCAGTAAAAGGCACTATAATCTTTGCTGGGTCTATTCCTGCTAGTTGATGAAATCTCAATTTTCCTTTTATAATTAATTCAGAGACTTTTTCCACATAAGTTTTTTAATTTTTTACTTAATTTATATAGGAAGAGGATCCATTCTAAGATAATATCTTCCCTTTGCATTAAAATTCCTGTAGGAGAAATTCTAGAAGGCAATATGACTAGAATACAATTAAGATTTAGATTCACTCTATCTACATGTGCCTCCTGTAATTTCTCTTCAAAAACCATCAATTCTTTTTCCGCTTCAGCTGTTAATTCCCTGGGACTACTTGGATTCTTCCCTGAATTGTACATGACACACCAATAACCGGAGACCTTACATTTTATACTGATGCAAATAAATCAGAAAAGGCAGGTTACAAATCAGAAAAATTAAGTAAGGTGGAACAAACCCTTATGATTCTGTCCAAAAAGCAGAATTATACGTTATTCTCATTGTACTAAGGGATTTTTAAAGAACCTCTCAAAACAGTTACAGATTTGTAATGTGCAGAAAAAACTGTCTTACATATTGAAACCACTGAATTTATACCAGATGATACAGCATTAACTTCATTATTTATATAGGTTCAAGATATAATCAGGAATAGGCTTTGTTCCATAAACATAAGACACATCCAATCCCATACGGGTCTGCCAGGTCCTCTGGCACAAGGTAATACAGAAACTGATTGATTATTGATTGGAAGTGGGCTGAAGGCCTCAGAATTTATAAGAAACATCATGTCAATAGCAAAGGTTTAAAGAGTTTCCTATTATATGGCAACAAGCTAAGGAGATTATAAAGAGATGGCCAACTTGTTCTTTCTATAACTAAACACCGCCACCTTCAGGAATTAACCCAAAGGATACCCAAAGGAATGAAATCTGGCAAATGGATGTGTTCCACTTTACAGAATTTGGAAAATTAAAATATGTATACCACACCATTGACACTTATTCAGGTTTTCAGTGGGCAACTGCCTTGAACTCAGAAAAGGCTGATTCAGTAATCATATATTTATTAGAAATTATAGCCATCATGGGTATACCTCCACAAATAAAGACAGACAATGGTCCAGCATATGTTACTAAGAATATGAAACAGTTTTTGCTTATTATAATATAAAGCATATTACAGGTATATTCACACAATCCTACAGGTCAGGCAGTTATAGAAAGATCAAACTGAACTATAAAGGATATGTTACACAAACAGAAAGGGATGGAAAATATCCCCAGAAATAGATTACATAATTCTTTATTAATCTTGAATTTTCTTAACACTAATGAGAAACAACAGCAGCAGAAAGACGTTAGAAAAAACTTCTAAATTAAAGCTGGTATATTGTGTTGACCTCACAATGGAAACCAGGAGATGTGCTATGTTGTGGAAGGGGTTTCACTCGTTTTCACAGGATAAGAAAAGGTATAGATACCATCAAAATTAATAAAGATTCACTTTGAAAAAGAGAAACCTCTTGAGAAAGAGAAATGACAGCTCATCCACAGAGGTGACAATCATGCAGGTGGTAAGAAAACCTCATAAGGATTGGGGCAGGGTTCCGTTCTTGTCTTTGCAAGAAAATACTCATCTTCAAAAAGAGCCGAGAGACCTTGGACATCTAGATGCCTAAAGATGAAAACATAATTATCCAGAAAGAATCAGCAAACAAAGAAAAAACTGAGTTATGATGCTGTACAATCTGCATGGTATAATTTGATTATCTGCATATATATATATATATATTTAAAAATCAGAGCTGGCTTTGGAGTTGGATGGTGGCTCTATCCTTCTCTAAATCCAAGCATGTTGTTAACAAAAAAAAAAAAAAATTCAGAATTCCTGTCTCGTGTCAGGAGCCATCTGTTAAGGGACAGACAGAAGACAGATTTTAAGAAGAGATCTTACTTTTCTCCGTGCCCATTTTGTCTATATCATATCTCTTGTTGAATATATGTCTATATGAATGATGTTTAAGGTTTTAACAATGAATAGTAGATTTTCCTGCAGTAATCTTTGAAGCTTCCAGGAGGAAGATGGGGCCCCACCACAATGACTCCACCTGGCTGATATGACATCATGGTGCTGATAGCACCATGAGACTGGTTTTTGGATACCCGCTGTGGAAATGGTGCCTCTTCTTACAACGTTCTGGCCAGAACTCCAAATAAGAATTTCAAACAAAAACAAACAAGTAAACAAACAAAAATACCCTATGGACTACTCAGAGACCATTTGTGATTATGCAAAAACAGCAATCTTGAAACTTAACTATCATTTTACTTTTACAGGATCCCATAGAAAGAACATTGCCCCTATGATAGCTGGAAGCAACTCTAGAAGACAATGTCCCCTCTCCCAACAAAGTTTGTCCTGAGGGTTAGGGACACCATTTTGGGGTTGATTATTACTCATATAGGGTTGGGGTGGAAATTATATAGGCCCAGAGACAAAAAAAAAAAAGAGAGAGAGAGAAAATTGAATGGGATAATAGGTAATTTAGCATGAACTTATTCACACTAATAATAATAGTGAGTAATAGAGTGAATACTTGTGAGCTACCATTTACGGACAATTTATATTGGTATAAATTTTTGTATTGATACAAGTTCATATTATATTTGTTATATTGAATATGCTATTTCTGCTTGCAATATTTGTACACCTATACAAATTATTTTGTCAGATTGTATGCATGCATGTTTCTACCTCTATTTAAGACATTTTGTATATTGATACAATTTTAGGATATATTTATTATATTGTATTATATATTTCTACCTCTCATCAAGGTATTTATACACTGTTTACATTTTGAGGTCATTGTCCTCTTTTACTGCACAATTTGGAAGCTGCCTGATTGGACTTCCTGCCTACTCAAGTAATATTATCTCCCTTCTCAGGTCTTCGATGCAGTTGAAGAATAGATAGTCATAGTTACCATCCTCTTATGATCTAGCCAAGCCATTTCCAGTATAAGACTTAAACTCCTTAGGATAGAATGTTTATTAAAAGATTTAGCATACGTGTTCCTTGCTTAATATTGTTTATACTGGTTTTAATTCTAATCTTATAGTTGATATATGTTCCTAGTATATATAGTTTTGTATTGGGTTTGGAACTCTCTTATTTATACAAAAAGGAGAGGTGCTGTGGGAGCTCCTTCTGCTCCTTCAGCCAATAGCCTTTAAGACACCAGCCCACTTGGGCATGGCCTCTTATAATAACATGCAGCTGTAAAGCATGTGCTCGCTCTCTTGCTTCAAGCTCTCACTTCTGGCTGCTAGACTCTGTTCCTTCCTGTTCTCCATTTGTGCAAAGGACTGTGATATATGACAGTGATCTGTGAGTCTCCCCTAAATAAATAACCCTTTATTATACATAATTGTGAACCAGTGTGGGATTATTTTGTATTCCACCATCAGGGGAAGGCATCCAAGTTACAGAGAAAGCAGAATGTAAACCATGGAGGGCTGTGTAGTGTTTTAACACATAGGGCTTGCCTGAAGGTCTGAAAGTAGCGCTAAGCCACTAGAGCCCAGGCAGTGGTGCCGCACACCTTTAATCTCAGGACTCAGGATACATAGGCAGACAGGTCTGTTAATTCAAGGCCATCTTGGGATACACAAAACTGATCCAGTCAAAAAGAGAAACAGAGTCAAGGGGTGGTGGCTCACTAGAGAGGTGGAGACAGGAGTGATATGGCTGGGCGGAGAGAAGAACATAAGGCAGTGGAGACAGGAGCTCAACGCAGTGTGAAGCAGCAGTCAGTCTGAGGAGGCAGTCTGAGGACAGGGTCATCCCTTTGATCTTAGCACTAGCAGAAGAACTCCAGTGGCTACCCACTCTGCTTCTCTGATGTGTCAGCTTTCACTCTGAGTTTCTATTATTAAGAACGATTAGAATTTGTAACGCAGGGCTGCAATAGTCAAGAAGTGAGGACGGAAAGGGTCAATGATTGACATCTCAGATTAGATATTTAAGGAGCACGAATATGAACAGATCAGAGGAAACCAGAAGAGAACACCATGAGGTCCTGACAGAAACTAATACAAATCAATAATCAAAGATAATGAACATCCCCTGCAAATATTAAATATTCCTGGAGGAATATTTAAGCAAGGCAAAGAGTAGAATCCTCCCTCATACAGCAAATGCAAACAATAATCTAATCACCAAAGTTTAATGTCTTTAACTAAAGCATTTTTTTTGAGATTTTTAAATTACATCTCAAATACAGCCAATTGACCTTCTCAAGTATATATTTTGAATGTCACTGTCAATTAGACAGATTTCTGTCTGTCACTGTTAAGCCAGGTCATAGGAGCCATACACTGTAGGTTCATAAACTACATCTTAAACTTTTTTTGACACAGAATCTCATTTAGCATAAGTTGGTCTTGGGTAATCTATGCTATAGAAGATGACCTTTAAGTCCTGAACCCTGGCTTCACAATGCAGAGATGACAAGGACGCACGAAGAGCAGGCTTCAAGTATTTTGTTTGTTTGCCTGCTTCTTTGCCTGTTTGGTTGTTTTCAATCACAAGTGTGTTTAAATTACATATACCTAAAGGGTCTTAAGCCATACGAGAGCATACCGCTGCATCATCCCTCCTTTGTAGGAAACCAGTCGTGATGCACCAGGCAGTGTACTCTTCCCACTTTACATAATGTGAAACGCAAAGCAATTCTTGTCCTGTCGGCGAGTAGCACTAACTAGGAAGTGTCTGTACTTCACTCACAGTCAACAGAAACAGTAGTACTGAGGATACGATATGCTAGAGTCCATGCCTCTTTTCAGTAGACTTTAATGCCACACAAACACTTGGTTTGACTTGAAGTGCTGTGAACTATGAAACCGTACAGAAGATGAGCTGGGAGTCTGCTATGTACAGACCAAAGAACCTGAGTGAGCAACAGGTCTTCAAATTCACCTTTCAGTCTTTGTGATGCTGAATGAACACTTCCGACATCACAGTCTCTGACATAACTGGATGAGGCACTATTCTCTAGGTTTTCACTCTGCAATTCGGAATCGAAAATGGCTTGGACGATGCAAAGCTCAAACCTTCTCCTCGAGGACATTATGCTGTCCCCGTATGGGAATGTTCAGTGTGAGGATTCTGATCACAGAGGTGACCACGAAGAATTCTCGTTCAAAACAACAGTCCAGAAATCTAATAATTTATTCCAAAGAAAATGAGGCTAACACCCTGTACACCAATCTCCTTAACAGAACTCTGTCCCTGGAAACTTCCATCAACTCACACAAAGAGTATTAGGACAACCATAAAATACAGGAGGGGCCTGATCTCCACTTGTTCCACAAGTCCCTAGGAATCTGAGCACAGTCAAGTGAGAGTGGGTCAGCTAGGGAGAGCACGTTTCCCCAGACAACCGGACGTGGGCTCCTATAACAACACCTCGGGTGCAGGCGGTGCGCTGGGCAACCCTGCCGGGGGGCAACCGTACACCTTCCACCATTTCACACTCTGAGCTACAGAGCCAGCTTTCCCACCCCAGAAGCGCACACTGGACTCTGGCAGCCGCGTCCTAACAAAGCTTTGACTCACAGCTCCACCCCCATATCGTCTTCCCACCCTAGACCTGCATCCAGGCTCACTGGCCCAGCCCAGGTCAGCACAGCATCTCCGAGTCCGCTTCTCTCTCCGCCTCTGGCCAGCCCCAGCTCCGCACCCTCCAAGCCGAGCCACCCACCCGCACACTCAGTCCCTCCGGCTGCGCTGCTCCCTGCACCAACCTCCATGTCCGACATCCGACCGAGAGCGAGGAGCACGACCCAACACCAGCGAACTTAGGAGGAGGACAAACGTCTGCAGACGGGATGCGGAAGTGCGGCTCGCGGAGCGGCTGCTGTGACGTTGCAGCGAACCCGACTACATTTCCCAGGATTCTGTGGTCACCCCACAGTCCACAGGAGAGGATGAATGGAAACTAGCCCTATTCCTACCAAGTGCAGGCTGGCAGTCTGCTTTTAAAGTCCAATTGGAAACAGGGCGTGTTGGAACGTCAGTTGAGACTTCCTCAGGAAGGTTTATGTCTGACCAAACCGTCGTTCAAAAAGTCATCTACTCATTATGAAGTCTTACTACCCTTACAGAGAGGTGGCTTTCACTGAATTGTACTTTAACGAAGCAAGAGGCTAAAGTGGGAGGGCTGTCACTTGAAGATGACTTTCGAAATCAACCTTGGTCTCCTCTTCTTGCATCCAGCTTAAGAGGAAAGGTTTACAAATCCAAGGCGGCCTGAGCAATTTATAGAGGCTTTGTTTCAAAATACAAAGAAAGGGGCTGGAGAGATGGCTCAGAGGTTAAGAGCATTGCCTGCTCTTCCAAAGGTCCTGAGTTCAATTCCCAGCAACCACATGGTGGCTCACAACCATCTGTAATGGGGTCTGGTGCCCTCTTCTGGTCTGCAGGCATACACGCAGACAGAATATTGTATACATAATAAATAAATAAATATTTAAAAAAAAACAAAATACAAAGAAAAAAAAACAAAAAGGAAAGGAAAGCAGAGTATCTTGGGAGTGAAGTAAGTGCTTAGAATGAAGAAATTAATACTTTGTGTTCCCCTATGTTGACAAACCTTGTGAGCTTTACATATATCGACTCCCCAGCTAGAAAAACAGTTGTCCTGAAAACACTGGCATCCATACCGTGAAGGAGGTAAGTCGTTAAACGTAGACGTTTAAGGAAAAAAAAAATATCACTGAACCGAGTTAAAAGTCCTACCCTGACATTTACATGTAAAGACCTCCCAGAATCCACGGAGGATCCTTCCATCTGTCCCTAAGACCTTCGTCTATACTTTCGTCCATTAAACTATATCAGAGCGTAACTTTTATGAGAGCTGTAATTTCGCCTGTTCCAGAACTTCACCCACTTCTTCCTGGCTCGCCACAAGCTCAGGGAAGTAGCCACCAACAGGTGTTCTCTGCGCTTGTGGGTACCTCCTCTGCTGCTCTCCCAAGTAGAAAGACACAGTTCCTAATGTCGCAGTGGTGTGTGTTGGTTTGTGTTCCAGTTCAACGCCTGGCCAGACAACCGTTGTAGAATTTCTCTCTGCATTAGGCACCTAGCTGTCTGGTTCGTTGTTTTCTGTTGTGGGATATCTGTAAACTGTGTGAAGGTGCACGGTTGTGATTCGGTGAAATCACTGTTAGAACAGTCAGTAGCTAGGCAGGAGGTATAGGAGGGACTTCTGAGCAGAGAGGAAGTAGGATGTGATCATTCAGTCCCAGGGAGATTCCAACAAGACATGGAGGGAGTTGGGCATATAAAGCTAAAGAAAGGTAAAAAAAAAAAAAAAAAGCAAAACCACTAGGCAAAATTAATATAAATGGGTTGAATTAAGTTTTAAGAGCTAGTAGGAACAAGCCTAAGCTAAGGCCGAGCTTTCATAATTAATAGTAAATCTCTATGTCATTATTTGGAAGCTGGCAACCCAAAACAAAGTCGAACTACAGTCTTCTTTGATTTTGGAGTTGCTTCTATCTGGCAGAATTTTGAAAGTTGGGTATCAGAAGTACAATCAGGGGAATACTAGGTTTGCTTATTGCTGAACTGGCACCAAGGAGTAATGAGACTCGCCTCTCTTGTCTCAGTAATATTTATTGCTGTACTCATCATGCCTTAGAGTGTGAACCTCTGTTGGCGTGGAAAATCCTTCTGTATATGTGCTGCTTTTATTGGTTAGTGAATAAACCTGTGTCGGCCAGTGGTTTAGCAGAGTAGAATAGAGCAGGAATTCCAAGCAGAAAGTGAGAGGAAAGAAGGCAGAGTCGGGGAGAAGCCATGTAGCGCCTGTAGGAGACAGATGCACCAGAACCTTGCCAGTAAACCGCAGCCATGTGGCGAGACCAGATTAATAGAAATGGGTTAATTTAAGATATAAGAATTAGACAGAAATATCCTTAAGCTATTGGCTAAACAGTATTGCAATTAATACAGATTTCTGTGTGATTATTTTGGGAGTCTACACAGCCTGGAAATGAACAAGCAGCCTCCAACTACTCTCTATACAATGGGAAAGTTCAGATAGTATTTCACAAGGAAGCTATTTCTGAGTGGATACAATAGGTTCTTACTGTTATAATTATTTTTGTTTCATGTCTGTAAGGAACTCTTGTCTCTTTTCTGTTTTTTCTCCTTGCAATGTTTAAGCATGAGTTTTTAAATAACTATTTAGTTACTTGAATGCCAGCATTTGTATAGTACTAGGCAAGCAAAGAATGAAGATCCCAGTCTGTATGGTAAATATGAAGACAGTTCTTACAAAATGGTGTCATAATTCCATAAGGTCTAAGGATAAATACTGTACACAGGCCATTAGTAATGAAAATCACAGTCAGAAAACCATCTGTCATATTTGGTTTATAGTAAGTTGACAAATTAATATAGCTTCTAAAAATGAAAGCTGTAAGTCTCACAGCTCATTCTATGATAACTATGGTAACTCAGTGGGGCGCTGGCTGAGAATCATCACTATGGTCCACTGTTCATGCAGCAGGACGTTGTTGCTTGCAGCAGTGGTCATTTCGGCATACAACTGGAATGCATAACATCCAGGAGGAAAGCCACATTTCCTAAAGATTTGAATGGGCGATTCTGCAGTCCGAAATATTGAATTAAATGAAAATAAATTCAACATGTGTTAAATAATTATTCAGAACTATAATTTTTCTTTTGTTTTGAGAAAAAGTGAGCCTCAGCCTCCCTGTGTAGGTCAGCGTAACACTGTGTCACCTTGTACTTCCTGCTGCTACTGCCTGAGAGTTGGGAGTGGCCAGCATCACCCCACCTTCTAAATGTCTTTCTTTGTTGCTTTGCTAAGGTATCTGAAAAGCCATAAAGAATAAATGTTTACTTCTTCTAACAGTTTGAGAATGATGCCAATTATGAAAGGAATGTCTGAAAGTGTGAGTATGGGGTGACATTGTGTCCAAAGCGAGGAAGCAGAGCGCTGAACACTACTGCTCACACGAATTCATTTCTGCTGCTTTTCATTCAGTCTGCTCTCCCAGGCTATGGGATGATGTTGTCCATATGTAGAGTTGGTCATCATTACCCAACTCAATCTAGAAACGTCTTCACAAACATGTTCTGAGCTTGGTTTCTGCGGTGACCCTGAACTCCGTATAACTGACTATTCAGATGAAGCATTACAACTTCACCTTTTCTCAACTTGGCACCCACATACCTCACCTCAAGCCATAACCATCTACTTTGGTGCCCTCTGGTTCACTCTTATCTCTTACTAGGAAAGGCATTTAGTCCATCTCCAAATGTCTCCACAGAGTTCAATAGTCCTGCTCTGGTCAAAGTCTAAAGTCTTTTGACTTTAAAATTCAAACAACTGTTTATTCCACCGTGTTGACAAGATTGCTATTTCAATATACAATGGCACAATGGTAATGGGCCCATTTTCCATAGACATGTAGCCAGGATAGGACTAAAACAGAAACCCACTAGGGCAAATGCAAATTCTACAGCTTCATATGCATAGCATCTGAGGTTCCTGACAGAATAAGCCGGACTCCAAAGGACCTGACCCATACTAACTTTCCACCGCTACACCTTGAAGCACAGATGTTCCCTCCCTAGGGTCAGCTCCACTCCTTACATGCAGATTTGCTCAGTGGACAGCCTATGGTTCTGGCTTTTCCAACATAGTATGATTGCAATTCAATTTAGTGGTCACCTTCAACTGTTGTATGCAGTAGCCACACAAGAACTTTTTGGGAGGGACACTGACCACCCCACAAATTGCCCGGCCCAGCAGGTTGATGTCATAATGGTCTACAGCTCAATGGCTTCCTTGGTGTTGCACCGTAAGTGCTTGCAAAACTAACAGCGCATGAACAATGCTGCCGTCTATCTTTGGATGTTGTCTGACCCTAGGTCAAAGTTCCATTCTTCTTTGTTTGATGACCCTGAAGAAACTTTTCCCAGAAGAGTGGCTTTAAGCAAGGAACTTCTTAACTGGTATTCTTACATTGGCCTTTCAGATGAGTTTGTACTTTCATAAGATAGTCTTTCATGGATATGGTCTAGGCTTTAGGACACCATTCCTGTTGCCTCAGTATGGAGAACTAGGTTTACCAACTTGGAGCTAATAATTTCAGTAATTACCTAGGATTTCAAATAGTCTTTTCTGTACCTTGTAGTGATAAGAGCGGTGGGGCTGCGTCCCTGGCACCCGGCCGCCCGCATGGCTAGCTTATGCCCCAAAATAATTACACAGAAACTGTATTCTTTTAAACACTGCCTGGCCCATTAGTTCCAAGCCTCTTATTGGCTAGCTCTTACATATAGTTCTAACCCATTTCAAATATTCTGTGTAGCCCACGAGGTGGCTTACCATGGAAGATCTTAACCTGTGTCTGCCTGGAGTGGGAGAACCATGGCGACCTCCTGACTCAGCTTCTTTCTCCCAGCATTCTGTTCTGTTTACTCCACCCACCTAAGGGTTGGCCTATCAAGGGGCCTAGGCAGTTTCTTTATTAATAAGAAATCATTCCCACATCAGTACCTTGAACATATTCAATCAAGTGTAGCAGCAGAACTAAACTGCTACTGACCGTAAGTAAGAACTCAAGATAGCTGCATTCCTGCAGCTCACTGTATATATGGACTTGCAGGCAGCTTCACTGGTGAGAGGGTCTCCTCTCCTATAGTGTTTACTGTATATGCAATATATATTCTATATACACAATCAAGGAGCAGACATGTGAATCTTGTAAATATCTAGAAATCTATATCAGATTTCTATCAGCAGTTGCTCATTTTCCAAGTCTTAATGAGCCTTCTGGTAATTTCACTTCAAGAGGAAGTGTCACATAACACGCTCAGAT